TAAAATCAACAGTATTCATGAGTGAAATGAAGTTTATACGACAGTAAACAGCGTAGCTTAGCACTTTCCTAATCATCAATAACTGTCTTTCTCACGCGAGTCTTATTTTATAAAGTTTATTTTAATTGCGTGCCAAAGTCATAAATAATTGTATCTTTAAATACATGACGGCCAAAATCACGAGAATTTGATCTGTCGCACTTTAGTCATACTTAAGCGTGTTCATTTTACTGTTTCATGTTTTTAATAATCGCGTGCTAAAACCACGAAAAATTTGATCTTTCCCACTATTAATACTTAAGCGTGTTCATTTTACTGTTTCATGTTTTTAATAATCGCGTGCTAAAACCATGAAAAATTTGATCTTTCGCACTTTAGTCATACTTAAGCGTGTTCATTTTTCTGTTCCATGTTTTTAATAATCGCGTGCTAAAACCACGAAAAAAGTTATCTTTCGCACTTTAGTCATACTTAAGCGTGTTCATTTTACTGTTTCATGTTTTTAATAATCGCGTGCTAAAACCACGAAAAATTGTATCTTTCGCACTTTAGTCATACTTAAGCGTGTTCATTTTTCTGTTTCATGTTTTTAATAATCGCGTGCTAAAACCACGAAAAATTTGATCTTTCGCACTTTAGTCATACTTAAGCGTGTTCATTTTACTGTTCCATGTTTTTAATAATCGTGTGCTAAAACCACGAAAAATGTTATCTTTCGCACTTTAGTCATACTTAAGCGTGTTCATTTTACTGTTTCATGTTTTTAATAATGGCGTGCTAAAACCACGAAAAATTTGATCTTCTGCACTTTATTCATACTTAAGCGTGTTGATTTTACTGTTTCATGTTTTTTATAATCGCGTGCTAAAACCACGAAAAATTTGATCTTTCGCACTTTATTCATACTTAAGCGTGTTCATTTTACTGTTTCATGTTTTTAATAATCGCGTGCTAAAACCACGAAAAATTTGATCTTCTGCACTTTAGTCATACTTAAGCGTGTTCATTTTACTGTTTCATGTTTTTAATAATCGCGTGCTAAAACCACGAAAAATTTGATCTTTCGCACTTTAGTCATACTTAAGCGTGTTCATTTTACTGTTTCATGTTTTTAATAATCGCGTGCTAAAACCACGAAAAATGTTATCTTTCGCACTTTAGTCATACTTAAGCGTGTTCATTTTACTGTTTCATGTTTTTAATAATGGCGTGCTAAAACCACGAAAAAATTTGATCTTTCGCACTTTAGTCATACTCAAGCGTGTTCATTTTACTGTTTCATGTTTTTAATAACCGCGTGCTAAAACCACGAAAAAAGTTATCTTTAGCACTTTATTCATACTTAAGCGTGTTCATTTTACGGTTTCATGTTTTTATCAATCGCGTGCCAAAATCACGTAAATTTGATCTTTCGCACTTTAGTCATAGTTAAGCGTGTTCATTTTACTGTGTCATGTTTTTAATAATCGTGTGCTAAAACCACGAAAAAATTTGATCTTTCGCACTTTAGTCATACTTAAGCGTGTTCATTTTACTGTTTCATGTTTTTAATAATCGCGTGCTAAAACCACGAAAAAATTTGATCTTTCGCACTTTAGTCATACTTAAGCGTGTTCATTTTACAGTTTTCATGTTTTTAATAATCGCGTGCTAAACCACGAAAAATTTTATGTTTTGCACTTTATTCATACTTAAGCGTGTTCATTTTACTGTTTCATGTTTTTAATAACCGCGTGCTAAAACCACGAAAAAAGTTATCTTTCGCACTTTAGTCATACTTAAGCGTGTTCATTTTACTGTTTCATGTTTTTAATAACCGCGTGCTAAAACCACGAAAGATTTGATCTTTCGCACTTTAGACATACTTAAGCGTGTTCATTTTACTGTTTCATGATTTTAATAATCGCGTGCTAAAACCACGAAAAATTTGATCTTCCGCACTTTAGTCATACTTAAGCGTGTTCATTTTACTGTTTCATGTTTTTAATAATTGCGTGCTAAAACCACGAAAAATTTTATCTTTCGCACTTTAGTCATACTTAAGCGTGTTCATTTTACTGTTTCATGTTTTTAATAATCGCGTGCTAAAATCACGAAAAATTTGATCTTTGGCACTTTAGTCATACTTAAGCGTGTTCGTTTTACTGTTTCATGTTTTTAATAATCGTGTGCTAAAACCACGAAAAAATTTGATCTTTCGCACTTTAGTCATACTTAAGCGTGTTCATTTTACTGTTTCATGTTTTTAATAATCGCGTGCTAAAACCACGAAAAATTTGATCTTTCGCACTTTATTCATACTTAAGCGTGTTCATTTTACTGTTTCATGTTTTTAATAATCGCGTGCTAAAACCACGAAAAATTGTATCTTCTGCACTTTAGTCATACTTAATCGTGTTCATTTTACTGTTTCATGTTTTTAATAATCGTGTGCTAAAACCACGAAAAATTTGATCTTTCGCACTTTATTCATACTTAAGCGTGTTCATTTTACTGTTTCATGTTTTTAATAATCGCGTGCTAAAACCACGAAAAATTTGATCTTCTGCACTTTAGTCATACTTAAGCGTGTTCATTTTACTGTTTCATGTTTTTAATAATCGCGTGCTAAAACCACGAAAAATTTGATCTTCTGCACTTTAGTCATACTTAAGCGTGTTCATTTTACTGTTTCATGTTTTTAATAATGGCGTGCTAAAACCACGAAAAATTTGATCTTCTGCACTTTATTCATACTTAAGCGTGTTCATTTTACTGTTTCATGTTTTTAATAATCGCGTGCTAAAACCACGAAAAATGTTATCTTTCGCACTTTAGTCATACTTAAGTGTGTTCATTTTACTGTTAATAATGATAATATCATGTAAAAATTTTATTTTTTCCCACTTTTTAGTTCTTTGTCACTGTGTGTGTGTGTGTGTGTGTGTGTGTGTGTGTGTGTGTGTGTGTGTGTGTGTGTGTGTGTGTGTGTGTGTGTGAGTGTGTGTGTGTGTGTGTGTGTGTGTGTGTGTGTGTGTGTGTGTGTGTGTGTGTGTGTGTGTGTGTGTGTTGCGTGCGTGTGCATGTGTACGCGTGTGTGTGTGCAGGAGTCGATCCGCTGGCTGGA